GCTCAATCATTCCATTTTTTGTCCTAGGTTGCCCTTTTCCTTTAGCCGTCCCCATCGAGGTGTTCCGGATGAAGTTCCTTTCTCCCTCCACTGTACAACTCCAAGATCTCCAATAGTTCTCCTACCCTTTTCCTCCTTAGTTTTCAACCTTTCTTTCTTTTATAATTTATATATGTATTTAAAATGATTATTGTAAATTTCCAACCAGAATCCAGATTTTAATTTCCCCGTTTAATTCCGGTTGATGTCCTCCGCATTAATGTATCACCCGCGAAAAGAACATCTCTCACTCACACACAGACACACACATACACATTAGAATTTAAGAAAATTTATTTTATAAATAAGATTTATAAATCAAACTAAATATTTCACTATTAAGATTTATCCTTTTAAAATCATTCATTTTTATTATTATTTTTTTTAATAAATGTAATGTTAAATTTTAAATTCAAGTAATTCATTAACCCGACTTCCTTCCTGTTACCCAAAATCGCACAGAGTCCCGTCCCGTATAATAAGGATTCAGTTCTTTTACCAAAAAGGGACCGCCGACCGATCGGCCTTTCGATAGAGTAAGAGCGACTCTTCCGGTCGTTGACCTGTCTAAGGCCCTGTATTGTTCGTTCGACTCGGAAACACTTGTCTCGCAAAAGAAAGAGAGAGCGTGTTTCGAGGTAAGTATAAGTTGCGTTCCATCCCGACTCAATTCTCCACGAGTCCGGACGTAACAATATCCAGTGAATATTGGCTTATAGTATATCCTGTGGACATTTATAAAATCTCGTATTACGGACATTTGGATATTTAAAGCATGTCTAATAGTTGTTTCCTACATATTCATAGATATCCCTAATGCACATTGAGAACATCCAGTAGATATCATCTAATATATTAGGTGTACAACTTTGCTTCCGCCGTTTTCCTATAGATGGCTTTATCGGTTATTACAATAACTCCAAGCGCAGAAAATCATGGGGATTTCCCGGCCATGCTTCCACGTCAATACCGCCAAACCGAATATTCACGGCTCCAAGGTCATGCTCTGTATTTGGTGGGGCCAGCTCGGCGTAGAGTATTATGAGCTGTTAAAACCGACTGAAACAATCACAGGCGATCGTTATCGAACGCTATTAATGCGTTTGAGCCGAGCATTAAAAGACAAACGGCCGCAATACAACGAGAGACACGATAAAGTGATTTTGCAGCACTACAATGCTCGACCCCATGTTGCGAAAGTGATCAAGACATACTTGGAAACGTTGAAATGGGAAGTCTTACCTCACCCGCCGTATTCTCCAGACGTTGCTCCCTCTGACTATCACTTGTTTCGATCAATGGCACACGGCCTGGTTGACCAGCACTTCCGGTCTTATGAAGAAGTAAGAAATTGGATCGATTCGTGGATCGCTTCAAAAGATGACCAGTTTTTTCAACGCTGCCCGAGAGATGGGAGAAAGTAGTGGCCAGCGATGGACAATACTTTGAATCATAAATGTATAACCAGTTTTTTACAATAAAGCCTCGAATTTCGGAAAAAAAACGGCGGAAGCAAAGTTGTACACCTAATAATTTAAGGCAAATGGCGCATTTTTCCTTCTAAGATAAAGATGTACATAATACATTCTATTATTATCTAGATAAATATGATAATGCAATTGCTTCATAAATGTTTATCTAGATAACTTCATCTAGATAACAGCAAACACTGGCGATGGTGTACCATCATGTTGCATTCACATTTTGAGTTGTATCGAAGCAATATGTTACGTCCTGGCGACTCCACGATTCCTTCCTTCCGCGAAGTTGCGGCAATGATAATCGATCGGTGATAGAACTGAGTCGTTCGGTAAATAGAGCATCTTGCGTCACACATTCCTTAAACATTTAGTCTCTTACTAATATCTATATCTACGAGTAACCGTGGGAAAGACGCGAGAGGCCGGTGACGAAACCGCGCTGGTCGCCTAAAAATAAATAAAAATCAGTAGATACCCTCGCAATAGAATTTTCCAGCGGAATAATAAACTGATATCGAAAAGATAATAAAATTCTCACGAAATATCTGACAAATAAAACTAAATCAATAATGACGAAACTTCTGTGACGACACATTCAGTAACGACAGAAAGTAAGACTTTTTCTAATCAGATCACGTG